TCTTAGAGTGAGCTTCGATATAGCGAGTTCTTAGCCTAATCCGATCGACGGTCTGCACGGCCCGCTGCGCGACGTTCAAGGTACTCTTGCTGTTTTGACTAAGTCCCTCTTGATCCCTCTCTCTACATACTCGGACCCGAGGATAGGGGCTGGTCTTGTACCAAGCACCCAGGGACCCTTGGAGGTGACCCCGAGGAGAGGTTTTAAGTTGGATAACGTCTTAATAGCCTGAGTTTATTAGGCCCTTACACCAACAAGCTGGTGTCAGAGCTGCGTTATAGCGATTCTCGTTATAGGTAGCTATGGCGGGAAAGGATTCGGCGGGAGCTAGTGAATCTTCAGCCCAAGATCGTAGCGGCAGCCAAGATTCTGGTGTTTCGGCGCCAAGGGGAGCGCGAACAAACCAGGGCTCGCTGATCAAGGAGGTGCTGAAAAACTTCACCGTCGAGAAGTTCAATGGTGAGGGCTATGATGATTGGGCCTGGAAAATGCAACTCTATTTCCGTCAGATTGGATTGCTGAAACTAATGATTGGGGAGGAGCCTAGACCGAGTGACCCCGCGCTGCAGGAAGAATGGGACGAGCGCTCCTCGGCTGGCTACTACTTAATGTCGCAGAGTTTGGAGCTGAACCAGCGACACCACGTCATGCACCTGCTGCCGGAGGATAAGTGCGGTCCGAAGGCGTGGACCGTGCTGAAGGAGCTGCACGCCCCAACCTCCATTGCCGCGACGCTCATGATGGAGAGGGAGCTGTCCGCGCTGCGCCTGAGCAAGGGAGAGCCGGTGCAACCTGTTCTGGACAAGATGCGTGATCTCTACGCGAAGCTGGCAACCGCGGGAATCACCTACCCGGAGCAGACCAAATGCTTGAAGATGCTCTCGCTGCTGCCGGAGTCGTGGCTGCAATACACGAGCGGATTGAGCCTGCCGCAGAACCAGAGCTTGTGGACGCTCGAGTGGGTGAGGACGAAGATTCTGGAGGAGGACTTCCGTCGCCGCCAACTGAGGGGTGGAGACGAGGGCAGCAGCGGCTACGGCATGCAAGGAGGCAAACGTGGCAGAAGACGTGGCTTCCGTGGTGCTGGTCGCGGTGCAAAGAAGGACGACGACTCCAACGACCAACAAGGAGGTACCGGTTGGGGTCGCGGTGGGAAATCTGGACGTGGGGGCAGATCGGGTGCTGGTGGCAAAATGAAAGGGAGCTGCTGGTATTGTGAGAAGGAGGGGCATCCCTGGTTCTTGTGTTATAAGAAACCCGAAGGATGGACCCCCCAGAATCGCCATCAGGATGGCGGCGCGCGGAGCAACCAGAAAAGCGGCGCGAACATGGTCGCAGATTCGCCCGACGATAACTCGAAAGGCAAAGGCGGTGCTGAGAAGAAAAAGGAGCGCATCGCGGGACAGTTCTTCCATGTTGGAGATGAGGGGGAGCAAGGAGGTGGTTCTGCCAAGGTTGGAGCAGAGCTGCATCCCCTGGACTTTTGGGTGTTGGACACGGGCGTTGCGTGGACGATGACGCCGCGCAAGGACCTGCTAGACGACCTACGCGCTGCACCAATCTCTGAGGTGTGCTCTGCCTCTGGACATGCGTTGAAGGTGGCTGGTGCGGGACGAGCTGCATTCAAGGGAGCGGATGGCAAGCCGTTGGTGCTGCACGACGTTCTGCTCGTTCCCGACCTCAAGGCCAACCTCATTTCCCTCCGTAAGCTCGCCAAGGCTGGGGTGAGTACTAGCACGGATGGGGCACGCACTTACAAGGGGCAGCTGGGCAACCGGGTGCTTTGGGATCTGCACGAGAGCAAGGATGTGTATAGATCCATGTGGCAGTTGCCGGCATTGGCGTGGCACGGTGGGGGGCAGGCTAGAGAGAGGTCTGCATCCCAGGGGGAGTGCAACGCTGTTGGAGCGGTTGGTGTGAGAGTGTCGGCCAGATCCGGGGAGACAGATTGGGCAACGGCACACCGACGCTTGGGGCATGTAGCAATGCCTTTGCTGAAGCAGCTGGAGAAGGATGGGGCCGTCAAGGGTCTGAAGCTGAACGGCCAGCCACCTGATGACAACTGTGAAATCTGCTTGCTATCCAAATTCACCCGTTTCCCCTTCCATAGTGTGGCTGGCAGGAGCAAGAAGCCTTTGGAGCTGGTCCACATGGACTTGGTTGGGCCGCTGCCGGTTCAGGGGCACAAAGGGGAGCGGTACTTCTTGACCATAGTGGATGATTGGAGCAGGCTGATGTGGGCGTATCCGCTGAAGCAGAAGGACCAGGCTGCCTCCACGATACGGGATGATTGGCTGCCGTTCGTGGAGAAGCAAGCGGAGTGTGTAGTGAAGCGGATCAGGACAGATCGGGGTGGTGAGTTCCTTGGAGCTGAGATGACGGCCTGGCTTAAGAAGCAGGGCATCCAGAGGGAGCTGACCACGGCTTACACCCCACAGTCCAACGATGTAGCAGAACGGGCGAATTGGACCATTCTAGAGACAGCTAGGGCGCTGCTCATAGAATCTGGGCTGGCCAACTCCATGTGGCCCCATGCTGTCCGGCACGCTACAGTTGCTAGGAACAGGGTTCTCTCCAAGGTTGGGGATGACTCCTGGGTGCCGTTGGAGAGGTGGCTTGGGAGGAAGCCGCCGGTGGACATGCTGAGGGTGTTCGGTTGCATGGCAGTCGCCCACGTCCCCAAAGTCCACCGAAGTAAGTTGGGGGCAAGTGCAATCTGGTGTGTGCATTTGGGGCTGGCTGCTGAGAGCAAGGGATGGCTGCTGTGGGAACCATGCAAGGGTGTGTTGTTTGACAGCAGGGATGTGAAGTTTGTTGAGGGCATGATGTATGGGAGCTGGGAGAAACAGCCGGAGGCTAAGGTGTCCCAGCAGATGGAGCAGATCACCATGCAGCTGGACCTGACTCCTAGTGTGTGGGAGGAGGGAGATGAGGCAGCTGCAGAGGGTGGTAATGGAGAGAAGGTGCAGGAGGCACCTGCTGGTGGAGGAGATGATGTGGAGACTAGTGGTAGCACCAGGGAAGCTGCTGGATCTGAGGGAGGAGAAGAACAGCAGGGCAAAGGTAAGGTGCCTAAGCTACCACAAAGGAGGAAGCTGAAGGGTGTCGTTATGAAGGAATGGGAGACACCCGTGTCTAGGCCAGGACGTACCCGTATGGCCACTATGAAGCTGACTGCAGGAGCTGATGTAGCAGAGCAGCAGCTTGGGAATGAGGAGGAATTGCTGATTCTACCGCATGGCTATAACCCAGATGAGGAGGATGAACCTGCCTACTGTTTTCTTGCCCCTGCACCAGAGGAACCAGCTAGCATGGAGGAGGCATTAGCTGGACCGGATAGGGAGAAGTGGCTGGTTTCTAGGGATGCTGAGTACCAGAGCCTGCTAGAGAATGGGACATGGGATCTGGTGGTGCTGCCTGAGGGGAAGAAAGCCGTACAGTGCAAGTGGGTGCTAAGGATCAAGACCGATGACAAGGGACAGGTCACCATCTACAAGAGTAGGCTGGTGGCTAAGGGGTTTATGCAGAAGGAGAAGCAGGACTTCAATGAGATCTTTGCTCCCACTACCAAACCCCCTACCCTCCGTGTCTTGTTGGCAGATGCAGCCGTTAGTGGGAAATTCATCATTCAGATGGATATATCAACGACATTCCTCAATGGGATTTTAGAGGGGATGTGTACATGACGCAGCCGCCTGGGTATGAGGATGGTACGGGCAGGGTGTGCAAGCTGAAAAAGTCCATCTACGGATTGAAGCAAGCGCCACGCTGCTGGTACCAGAAGTTGGCAGCTGTTTTAGAGAAGATGGGATTCAGGACCAGCAGCTGCGATGAGAGCCTCTTTCTCAAGGGGGAGAAGGAGAAGCTGGTGATGTTTCTGGTCTACGTGGACGACATTCTTCTCTTCAGCAGCAGCATGAAGGAGATCCAGAAAGTGCAGCAGCAGCTGATGGAGAACTTCAAGTGCAAGAACCTTGGGGAGGTAAAGTACTACCTCGGGATACACGTGGAGAGGGATCCAGATCACAGGTGGTTGAAGCTGCAGCAGGAGAAGTTCATCAAGGAGCTGGGGGAGAAGTATGGGATTGAGAATGAGCGCAAGGTTGCAACTCCCCTGCCAGCAGAATTCAAGCCTGTGAAGGATGCAGAGGATGAAGGGGTTGAAGCCGAGGAGCAGCAGAAATTTCAGTCCTTGGTGGGCAGCCTCTTGTATGCAGCGGTTCACACGAGGCCCGACATCTCTTTCTCTGTTGGGCAGCTGGCAAGGGTGGTGCAGAATCCATCAGAGGAGCAGGTGGATGCAGCTGAGCGTGTGGTGAAGTACCTAAACTCTCACCCAAGCATTGGAGTTCAATACTCCGCATCTGCACAGGTGAAGCAGAAAGGGGTTGAGGTGCTGAAAGAGAAGGGGGAGCGGCTTGGGGAAGGCAAGCTGTTTCTCACTTGCTTTACCGATGCTACGTGGGCTTATGAGAAGGAGGATTCCTCATCTGTGGGAGGATACATCTGCGTAGTTGGGGGAGGACCTGTTAGTTGGAGGTCCAAGAAGCAGACGGAGACGGCACTATCTTCCGTGGAATCGGAGTACATGGCGATGTTCCATGGGGTGAAGGAGGTGATTTCGCTGAGGAGGCTGTTAGAGGAGATTGGCCAGGAGCAGAAGGTCGCTACACCGCTGTTTTGTGATAGCAAGGGGGCTCTTGGGATGGCCAGGAACGCTGTGCTTCATGGGCTGAACAAGCACATGCGTATCAAGTGGCACTGGCTGCGTAAGGAGGTGAAGAGGGGGACGGTGAATCCGATCTACATCAAGACTCACCAGCAGCCTGCAGACTTCCTCACCAAGAGGCTTGCGGATGAGCCTCATTGGCGTTGTGTGCGCATGAGTGGAATGAGCATGAACTAGCATGGAATGATGGGGATGCAGCCGGCAGGCTGAGGGGGAGTGTGTTGGGTGCAAATTCACATTGCACGACATCCTGCCGTCTGTTTGTACGAGTATGCGTGTGCGAATGCATTTGGGTGTGAATGGAATGTTCGTGTGTTTGTTTGCTTTCGCAATTTTCGCTTGATGCATTTGCAGGTACTCGTGCAATGTGCGCTTCGGCACAACATTGTACGCGCTATGAACAGTGCAAGCAGAAAGGACGAGCTCGCAAAGGAACCCAAGATGGACGCTTTGCAGTTCGGTTGAATTGATTGCGCAGATTCAGTTCTATCCAACTCGAAATTGTACTGTTTTGTTTGGTTGACTACAGTGTAGCAGGGCAGGCACTATAGGGGTACAATTTAGGTGAAGGTTGGATGTTGTTTGTCTGTATCTGCATGCTACAGGGCCAAGGGAAACCAGCGGAATCAGCATTTGGCTGGTTGGGCAAAGACAAAACAGGTTCTGTTTTTAGGACCTGAACCTGGTTGTTGTTTTTCCAGGTTGGAAAAACAGAACCAGAGGTTGTTTACCAACCTACCACCTGCTGTTTTGTCCAGCCAGGTTGGTTCTATTGCTTGGAATTATTTGGGATCATCCCTGGTTGTTCCCAGGTTGATTCCCAAGGTCCTTGCTAGCTAGAACTATTTATTCCTTCTCTGTTTGTTCCTGGATATAGTGAAATTGATTCAAGCGAATTCCTTCCTTGCTGGAATTTCGTTTCTACGCGGTGCGACGGCGGAATGCTACCGAGTCAACGCTAGTACACTAGCACTACGACGCTAGGCAAACGCTGTCCGAGCCATAACTTCGTAATGGCAGACTTTTTCGCGAGGCAACTTGGCTCTTTTGAAAGCTCTTAGAGTGAGCTTCGATATAGCGAGTTCTCAGCCTAATCCGATCGACGGTCTGCACGGCCCGCTGCGCGACGTTCAAGGTACTCTTGCTGTTTTGACTAAGTCCCTCTTGATCCCTCTCTCTACATACTCGGACCCGAGGATAGGGGCTGGTCTTGTACCAAGCACCCAGGGACCCTTGGAGGTGACCCCGAGGAGAGGTTTTAAGTTGGATAACGTCTTAATAGCCTGAGTTTATTAGGCCCTTACACCAACATATTGCTGGGGGAACTTCTCTTGGGGCCCCATCTCAGGAAGGCCAACTAAACTCACACCCCATTGCATCTTGGTGCCCTATCCCATCACACCCAGTTCAAATCGTGCACTGTATCAGTATTTCTCGGTTTCCACGCAATCTTCAAAAACTCGTTGCTTTGGCCTCCCGTCACTTCTTTCTCTCCAGCAGTTAGCCTTCGTTATAGTTTTCCGTTTTTCTTTACTTACTGATTTTTTATTCCCTCTTCGCCTTCGCCATCCCCTCGCCCTTTTCGCCGCGTACCCGTCCCCTGCCCCTCGCCCTCGCTTCCTTAGATTGTCACTCGCTTCCCCTCCACCGCCTTCCTCGTTGACCTCACCTCCCCTGCCCGTCGCACTCCCTTTCCCTCCCTGTCCCCTACCTATTGCCCTCCCTTCCCCACCCGTCGCCTCTCGTTTCCCCTCGCTTCCCCTCCCATTGCCTTCCTCGTCGTCACTACTTCCCCTTCCCGTCCCCGAAAATTCCCCTGCCCGTCGCCCTGTTTTCCTCTCCCTTCGCTTTCATTTTCCTCTCCCTTCCCTTACCCTTTCCCCTCCCCTCCCTTCCCCTTCTTCCTCACCACCATTCCCTCTCCGCCTCTCTCCTCGCTTCCTCTCTGCCCCTCCCTACTAAATAGTTTCTTCTCTACTCCCCCGTGCTGCTCCCACTTCCCTCCGCACTGCTTACCCGCTTTGTCCCCCACTCCCCTTGTCATTCCTTCCGTTTCCCCCGTGCCCATATCTCTTGGTTTAACCCATTACCTTACTCATTGTTTCGCCAGTGCGCAATGTTCCCTTCCCATCGCCCATGCTTACCCTCCCATCCTCCTCCCTGTTGTCCTCGTTTCTGCTGCATCCCCACCCTCTTCTGTTTTCCACTCTTCGCCTCCCTCCTCCCGTCCCTCTCCGCTTCCCCCCCCCCTCCCCCTCCAATCCCTCTCCGTTTCCCTCCCTCCTCTCGTGCCATCCCGCCCACCCTGAACTCCCTTCTCCCTATCTCCAAGACGGCAGGAGGAGCTGGCCCTGGAGCTTCCCCTCTCTGTCTCCAATCTCCCATTGCTAACTTACTCTCGCACATTCACTTACGTCAGCCATTCACTCGCTCCCATCTATGCTCACCCGCACATGTCACTCGCACGCTCCAGTGCGTTCATGTTCTCTCATGCTCGGTATCTGTCCCACATTCCCGCAACTGATCACCCATGCTCTTCGCCCCTCTCCCCCATACTCGCTCACTCATCCTCATGCACTCTGCCCTCAGGCCCCAACTTACTGCCCTATTCATTCTCGTCTTCCCTTCCACCCATCAACCCAACCATTCCTCTTCTATGCCCATCTTCCCCATTGCTATCTCCTGCCCAACCATTCCAATCCCTTTTCTCCTTTGCTCCTCTTTGTGGCTCCCTCCCCTCATTCCTCCCCACGTCCATTCCTTCAGGGAGAGGAATGTGTTATCGGCGACAATATTCCTTATTTGTCGCATTGTTTTTTTGTTTGTCACAGTCGATAATATGTCGACAAGATTGCTCCTCATTTTGTAACATAATACAAAGTATGCGTATTGTCACCGCGGTATATGGATGAATGTACGCCCTAAATGGAAATGGTTTTCACGATTAGCGCTGGATTAGTACCGTACTTGTGTTCAAATACCGGTACATCCAGATAATGCTTGTTGAAAAACAGTGTACAAACATAGAGTCACGAGATGTGTTACGAGCGTTTACTATTGGCGAGCGCAACATTTCTTTCTGTGCTGTTTCGCTTTTGCCCAACCAGAAGTCACGAATGTCAAACTTATATGCTATATGTTCTGTAGGCTGTAGTGGGGTAACCAGTATGGGGTACAACCCAATTAGGGTTTCCTACTTGTACTCCTGCATGCTGCGTCTTGTCCTGCGTCGCCTGTTCGAGCTGTTCGCACTGGTCGTCGTGTTCCGCGTCCGCGTCCTCCTCCTGTCCCAGGCACGCACCAGATGGCACTTCGTCCTTCCTCTGTTCCACAGCGTGTCCCTCTGCCGTCTCCTCTTGCGTCCTCTCTTCCTGATGTCAAACTTATATGCTATGGTCGGTGTAGGCTGTAGTGGGGTAGTTCATATAGGGTACAACACTTCTAGGTTTCCTACTTCTACCCACCTGTTTGCTAGTTCAGTCATTTTCGTTCCTTCACGATTCTGACACCTGACGTTCCTGACCCGCCGTCAGACCTTGCTCGTGCTGCCAGTCCTACTGTCACACGTCTTCTAGCCACTGTTGTCACTGACCCTTCGTTTGAGTCCACTGCTGCGTCTGCCCTAGTTGCTGAGCTTGTTGACTTTGCTGCCGCCTGTCGCCTAGACTACGCCGCTAGTCTTGTTGCTGAGTCTGAGTCTGTCTGTCCTCCGTCCGTCGGGGGTGAGTGTGCCCATGGCACGGACGTCCTTGAGGACAGGAAGGAGGAATTTGAGTGTTTTTCAGCTGCTGTACCTCATCTCGTGTCCATGCTGATTGCACCTGAGGGAGACCCGGATGCACCAGACATCCCGACCCCGCGCTCTTACGTAGAGGCGATTGAGGGTCCCTACTCCTCTCAGTGGCAGACAGCCATGGACGCAGAGATGCCTTCCTGGAAGTCCACAGGCACCTACGTCGACGAGGTTCCCCCACCTGGGGCGAACATCGTCAGTGGCATGCGGATTTTCAGGGTGAAGCGGCCGCCGGGTTCTCCGCCTGTCTTCAAGGCGCGTTACGTTGCTCGAGGCTTCAGTCAGCGACAGGGAGTTGACTTCTTCCAGACCTTCTCCCCTACCCCGAAGATGACCACTCTTCGGGTGCTGCTGCACGTCGCCGCTCAGCGTGACTACGAGCTTCACTCTCTTGACTTCAGCACAGCCTTCCTACAGGGCAGCCTGCACGAGGAGATCTGGCTCAGCGTGACTACGAGCTTCACTGGGTCGTTCCCTCTTGGTACCCAGTGGGAGCCTCCGGCGGCCAGTCTACGGTCTCCGCCAGGCACCCCGTGAGTGGCACGACACACTGAGGACTACGCTTGCGGCTCTTGGGTTTGCTCCTTCTACTGCTGACCCGTCGCTGTTTCTACGCACCGACACCACTCTGCCGCCGTTCTACGTTCTCGTGTACGTCGACGACTTGGTCTTTGCTACTGCTGACACTGAGGCACTCGCCCACGTGAAGTCGGAGCTGCAGAAGAGACACACGTGCACAGACCTGGGTGAGCTGACAAGCTATCTTGGCTTGCGGATCACTCGGGACAGAGCACAGCGCACCATCACCTTGACTCAGTCACACATGGTGCAGCAGGTCCTTCAGCGCTTCCGCTTCACGTACTCCTCGCCTCAGCCCACTCCTCTGCCTACCGGTCACTCGCTCTCAGCTCTGCCTTCGGATGAGTCCGTAGAGCCAAGTGGCCTGTATCCAGAGCGTGTGGGCTGCCTCATATACCTGATGACCTGCACTCGACCTGACCTTGCCTACACTCTTAGCATCCTGGCACGCTACGTTGCGCCCGGGAGACACCGACCAGAGCACTGGAAGGCCGCTAAGAGGGTGTTGCGCTACTTGTGCAGTACGTCGGGCATGGGGCTCATGCTTGGAGGACGGGCTCGAGTTGTCCTCACTGGTCACGCAGACACTTCTTGGGTTGACGACTTGGCTACGCAGCGGTCGTCACAGGGTTACACTTTCAGCCTTGGCTCCGGCTCTGTTTTGTGGCGGTCTACCCGCTCGTCTTCTGTTCTCAGTTCCAGTTGTGAGGTTGAGATCTACGCATGAGCTGACAAGCTATCTTGGCTTGCGGATCACCCGGGACAGAGCACAGCGCACCATTACCTTGACTCAGTCACACATGGTGCAGCAGGTCCTTCAGCGCTTCCGCTTCACGTACTCTTCGCCACAGTCCACTCCTCTGCCTACCGGTCACTCGCTCTCAGCTCTGCCTTCGGACGAGTCCGTAGCGCCGAATGGCCCGTATCCAGAGCTTGTTTGCTGCCTCATGTACTCGACCTGACCTAGCCTACCCTCTTAGCATCCTAGCACGCTATGTCGCTCCTGGCCGACACAAGAAGGAGCACATGGATGCTGCTAAGAGGGTGTTGCGCTACTTGTGCAGTACGTCGGGCATGGGGCTCGTGCTTGGAGGACGCGCTCCAGTTGTCCTCACTGGTCACGCAGACGCTTCTTGGGCTGACGACTTGGCTACGCAGCGGTCGTCACAGGGTTACACCTTCAGCCTTGGCTCCGGCTCTGTTTCTTGGCGGTCTACCCGCTCGTCTTCTGTTCTCAGCTCCAGTTGTGAGGCTGAGATCTACGCAGCGGCCATGGCTGCACAGGAGTTACGCTGGCTCACCTACCTGCTGATCGACTTGGGAGAGCCGCCTTGTTCTCCTCCAGTTCTGTACGTCGACAACAAGGCCATGATTGTCTTGTGTCAGGAGCACAGACTGGAGCACAGGACGAAGCACATCGCTCTGCGTTACTTCCTTGCTCGAGAGTTGCAGCAGCGTGGTCAGCTTCGTCTTGCTTACGTGGCCTCTCGGGCCAACACTGCTGATATCTTCACCAAGGCACTTCAGCCTTGTGATCATCAGCGTTTCTATACTGTTCTAGGCCTTGTGCCTACTTGGTCTCACTTGCTCACTTCTTGACTTTGCTTGTACTGTAATCTATAAACATATACCTGCATGCTTACACTTGCTAGGTTGTAATCACTGTACTGCTTGTTCTCCTTTATATAACGGGAATGTGAACTGGCATGTGAACTGGCCTTGTGGCCATTTGCTTGTGCTCAGAATGCGTGGTGACTTCGTGATCCACCCTGAGCTTGCTTTGCCTTTCTTGACTGGTCTTGTGACCTCTTGTTCTCCCCCACTTTGCCTATGGGGGTGTGTCAAACTTATATGCTGTATGTTCTGTAGGCTGTAGTGGGGTAGCCAGTATGGGGTACAACCCAAGTATGGTTTGCTACTTGTACTCCTGCATGCTGCTAGTTCATTCATCCTCGCTTAGTATTATGACAACGAAATCATTTCTTGATAAAACTCGCTAATAACTGTTCAAGTTCAGAAATTTTGAAAATCTACCATTCTAGACTTGGGCTTTAAATCCTGGCTCTCGCGCCTCCCTGCCCCCGCTGACTTGGTCATCCTCATTGACACTCGACTCATCCTCAGAATCCCCAACCTCGACTTGAAGTTTCGACCTCACGCCTCTGCCCACGCCCCGGCGCTGCTCTCGACTGACAGCGCTATCGGGAGGCCCACTCTCATAGGAGGCATCTCCATCCTCTCTTTCAACAGGGCCATCTCACTGTCCTCCCCGCTCCCCTCTGCAGACGGCAGACTTATCACGGTTCATCTCAACTATCTCCGTAGGCAAATCCGCCTCATAGCTATTCATGCGTCCAAACAATTCTACGAGGGTCGAATATGGTGGACCACCACGCTCGTTCCGGCACTGGAAACCCCCTCCGCTGCCTCCGCGACCATGTTCGCTGGAGACTTCAACTCTTTCATCCTTCCAATTGACAGAAACCGCCCCCTTAAAGATTACGAATGCCGAGAAGGTGCCTCCTTCGCCAAACTCATGGATACTCACGCGCTGGTCGACACATTCCGCGAACTCCACCCCACGCCTACTGGCGTCTTCTCTTTCTTTGGCAGGCAACGCCACAACACAGTGACCCCGCCCACATCTTCCTGTCTCGACAGGATTTACATTTCCCGTGCCTTCCGCCCCCGTCTCGCTGGTAGCCCGTACCTCCAAACCCGAACGGAAATCATGAATCACCTGTATGCCCCTCTCTGCTCGCTCTGTTTCACCAACCCCACAGTCGCTCCCCGTCCCTGGCGACTCCGCCAACATCTACTCATGCGCCCCCGCGCCGCACAAATCATCGATGCCGCTCTCGCAGCTTTCCCCTCCTCCCCTTCCCCGGACTCCTGGGACAGATGGAAGCTCGACCTCACCCTTAACTTCAAAAGATT